ATTAAATATGTAAGTCCTAAATAACCTATAGTATGTGGAGTCTCCATTTCTACTGTTGTATCTGAGAAAAAAAGTTGAACATGCTGATTCCTTTCTTCGGTCAAACTTTGTGAAATAAATAGTCAAAGAAAATCAACTGTATTTTCTCTTATTCTTTATGATTTATGACGTTGTAACTGTGACATTCTGCACAAAAGAGAGGTGCAGGACTTTATATTGTAGTGAGAAATGATCCCACAGTGGGTAAAAACGTGACAGGAGCAAAAACAACCAGAAACCACTTGGCTACAAAACTAAAATTTCCCCTCATTGTCCGGAGCTTTTCATTTCAGTCTAAATGAGTCTAAATTAGTCTGTAACTAGCTATAATTGTAACGGTTAAGTGGACAACTTTTACCCCTTAAAACCGAACCGATGCACTTTATGTCTAAACTGACAAAGTGTTTATTGTAGAGGTGGAGCTCACATCAACTAAAACTTCCCGACATGACTTTTCTGTGTAGTTCAGTAAATTCTGTTTTAAAAATTCTGCAAATTTCAACATTTTTTTCCAACAAAGAGCTGATAAAACATCCCACTTTGTATCAAAAATAAACACTAAATAATGAACTTGCTTCTGAAGACCCTCGTTTGTGGAGAGACGGACGTTCACCTGGTTTCCTCATGATGCACCTCTGCAGACACATCTGTAGTAAATACAAATGACTTTCATAATTTCATGGGTCTGATTTTGTCAGAATCCAGACAAACTCCTTTTATGCATTTCTGAAATATATCTCTACTTTCTGCATTCACTGTAAGATAGTCGTAGAAACAACAACTTCACAATATGAATTATTAAAAGCTAATATATAAAAATCTGCCAGTGTTATCGTACCAAATGAAGGACGATCTGGATGTGTGACTCGTTCTTACAGTGACCATGATAAGAGCTTAAACATAATTAGTAGTAAGATAACCCTGGAAACAGCCTCGGGCTCGCTGGGTTTAATAAACAATGAGCGTTGAATTATTTGCATTTTGAGAAGCTTTAGGATTATTTTAAAAGTTTCTCCTTTGTTGTCGTGAGTTTGACAGCAGAACCAGAAAGTTAGTCGTGTTTTTACCTCCTGGTGTTTCCGACATCGTCCAAATACTTTAACGATGATTGATAAGTTGTTTTATAAAACTAATGTACATTAGCTGCTTCTGCGCTAATTAGAAAATGTGTTATTTCTTTGAGCATTAATTCGAGGAGACGTGAGAGGAGATGACAGTTTAATTTTCTTAGATAGTCACCTTATTAATTTACGTGATTTCATGTCAAATAAATTTTATTAATCTCCCATTTAACCATTTAAGAGTGTATTTTTAGTAATGTACCGTGGAAAACTAATTGAGGTGTTTTGTTTTTTTGAGTGTGCAGATGTTTACGTGTCTCATCCAGATGTCTGACAAAACACTTCAGTGATTCATGTTCTTCAGAGTTTTGTTTTGATTTCTTTTACACTCTCCTTCATACTCCTGGTTGTCAGTAAAGAATAAAATAAAATAAAAAAAACTAGGTATATCACTCCATCAAGAGTCTCTAAGATATATCACAGTGGCAATAAAAAGCAGTAGAAATTCCCAGTGGAGTAATGGAGATGGAGTTGTTTGATGGTAATTATGTTTTCCCCAGCTTTTCCCTGCCTGGTGGCGGCGGAGAGGATGATTCGCTCTGGGGTGTGTGTGTGTGTGTGTGTGTGTGTGTGTGTGTGTGAGCGTGTAAATGGATGCGTGATCCAGTTAGAGTGCTGGGGGACTGAGAGACGGCGCTCTCATTTAAGGTTAGACTGGAATTTATGATCCTGAGATGCGACAAGAGCTAATTTAGAGCAGCACGAATGAAACTTATAGACCGGGGAGCCATGATTCTTTCATTTCCAGCATTACAGAGCACACACTCTCTTTCAGGCGCGTGGGATGTGGTTCAGGCTTCTTCTTCTTCTTCTTTTTTTTTTTTTTATCTCCCCGTATTGAGCCGCAGTGATTTCATTGAATTTTTATTCGCATGTATTCACTTTCGATTAGTTTTAGTTCCAATTGTGGACTCGGCCACTGCAAAAATTGAGCAGCGCGCTCGCATCTTTTCCATCAAAACCAATTTCATTCAGCAAATACTTTATATTGGACTCTTTATTCGGGATTTTATTCAATTTGCCCTCTTGGCTCGCATCATAACCCGGTGCCATTACTGGCCACAGTATTACGGAGAAACAAACAGACAAAAGGGCTTCACAACACATTGGTGTCAGCTAACAGCGGTGAGGCATAAACCGTCCTGTCAGTCGGACTCCATGTTGTTGCTGGATGCGGTTATCTCACCGGTGAAGCTGAAACAAAAGTGTTTTGTCAATAAATATTTCTAGGAATCTTATAAAAATCTGCTGAATTTTGTACATACAGATGCAAACCTACGTCTATGTCAAAGCTGCCAAAGTCTTTTTTTTTTTTAAGATGGCGTAGCTACATTTTTAATTATCCTCAGCAGCTAGCGTTGGAGGCATTATGTTTTCAGGTTGTCCATAAGTACACATATCCATCCATCCGTCCTATGAAAGTGTTTTTTTTGCTAGCTTGGATCATTCCAAACATTAGTGCTTTTAGTTTGTAAATCTGCGTTCATTTTCTAACTGTATCCTGTTAGTAACTATAATAGTAAGAGTTTAATTTGTACAGCACAGTTCATGCAATTAATGCAACTCAGAGGGCTTTAGATGAAAAAAAGAGATTAAAATCAATCTAAATCACAAAAATCTAGTCCATAATAAAGCGAACAAATAGACGAAAATTATGTGATGCTACCTAAAAACGACATCCTTAAAAAGCTGCTATCTGCTGAATTAAATGTTCTGACGTCCTCTGGCAGCATCAAGCATTTCTGTACGTCTTTAGTTCTGCTCTGGGGAACGTTTAGGAGACCAGAGTTAGAGGGGCCCGACCAAACCAGCATCTCACATAAACACTCAGGAGTTACTTCAGGAAGAGGTTTAAAAACTAAAAGCACATTTTAAAAATGAATTCTAATATGAACAGTATTGACTTTGCTGCTTTGATAAGAAGCTGTGTCTTGGATCATCTGAAGTTTGTTTAAAGGACAGAAAGCAGAGAACCTAAAATATAACCGTCTGACATTAGTGTAGAGAATGTTTAAACTTTAGTAATCTGGATAAATTCATTCGCATAAAGTCAGTACTGATTGTACTCAAACCCAAAGTCAAGACAGACAAACTACCAGAAACCAGAAAATTAATCTGCAACACCTTTAATACCTTTGATCATTTAAGTCGTTTGTCCAGCAAATACATTTGTGAATATTTTCATATTTTTTGCACCGTTTAGGCTGTTGGTTGCACAAGACAAACATTTTGTCAACAGCACTTACACAGATTGTGACGTTTTTCAGAGTTTTCCCACATTTTCATGAAGTCAGCCGTCAGATGAATTATTGATGAAAATAATAATTAGTTGCAGCTCTATTATAAATGACATTGTCTGGGTTCGGGGTGCTGCAGCTGGGTGCAGAGTGCTGCAGCGTCCATTCTTCTTGTGGATATGGTTCAGTTAACTCTGCACATAAATTATCCCGCGGATTAGTCCACACAGAACCTCCAGAGCAGGCAAAAAAAGAAGAAGACAGACAGGGAGGAAGGAAGACTGGAACAAAACCAACAGGAAGCCTAAAAAAAAAGTGGATCCAGGAGAGGAGAAAGAGAAATATAGAGAATGAATGGAAGGCTGATGAAGGCCAGACCCGCTCGCTGAGTGCTCAGTCGGCTGGAATAAAGTAGTAAGTCAGTTTCTTGATGGCGAAGGGGAACCGGGACAAATCACCTCGACAGAGGAGAGCGAAAAGGGCACAGCCGAAGTTGAAAGATGAGGGGATGAGAATTGTAATAGATGTTCCTCTCTATTTAGTTCAGGTTCATGCTTTTTCCAGCTGCCTGGCATCTGCGGAGATGGACGGTGGTCCGCTGGGGTCAAGCTGAGCCGTCAGCTGTGGTTCTAACCTCTATGACTGTCTGAATTGAGGGTATTTTTCCCCTCCAATTATCTGACTTTCTTCCCGGTCCTGATCCGTGCTCGGGGTTAGGTATACAGCCAGCTACTGAGGGAGTCTCTGCGTCACGTACAAAGTGTTTGGACAAACTGCTGTTTCTGTAGAAACAGACTGACCCGGTGAAAGCACGCAGTGTCTTTATGATTTTATACAATGCTGGTTTTACCTTGAAGCACGGCAGAACTGTGGCTGTAAAGAACTGTACGCAGTCTAACAGAATCACAATACTTCCTATTTTATACTGTATACATCTGTTTGTCTTTCCTTTTGTGTTATTTTGCTTTATTTTCTTACTTGTATATTGCTGCTACAACAATATTTCACTGCTGTAACTGTGTTTTTAACAATAAAGAACTATTCTATTCTATCCTATTGTGAGTTCAACGGCTTTAGAAACATGATGCAGTTTAAATGAACTTCTTGTTGTGTTGATAACGGGAAGTAAAACATGTACAGATGCATATATTTAGAAAACACAGAATCTGAGCTTGCCACATTTGCAGAAGTTTGTTCAGAAATGCTGAACCGCTGCCAAGTTAAGAGCTGCTCTCAATCTGCAGTGGTTCATTTTTTTTAGATTGAAAGTTCAGACTTCCTCAGAACGGAGGGACTTGATTGTTGTGTCTCCTTTAATGTCACGTAATATAAACAAAGTAAAGATGCCTCCATTTGAGATCAAATTTCCTAGAAATGTTCTGTAACTGTCCCAACATTTGTGACTTTGGGAGGTCAGACTCTTTATACGTAGCTGCAGGGTCCTTTCTTCAGTTCTGTATCTGTTCAGCTTGTGCACAAAAATGTCATCATCAGCTCCGTATTGGTGGAGCGATTGTTAGTTCAAGACCAAAGCCATGCAGACTTCTGTGTGGACAGTACGTGGACCTGACCTGACCCCCTTCTCCCTGCTCGTCTCTTCCAGGTGGCCTCCCGTACGAGTTTAAGGTGGTGATCGCCGGGAACCACGAGCTGACCTTCGATAAGGACTTTATGGCCGAGCTGGTCAAGCAGGATTACTACCGATTCCCGTCGGTCTCCAAACTCAAACCAGAGGACTTTGACAATGTCCAGTCGCTGCTCACAAACTGTGTGTACCTGCAGGACTCGGACGTCACCATAAAGGGATTTCGGATATACGGGACGCCATGGTAAGAGCTGCTTCTCTCTCTTCTGTCCTCTCCCCAGAGCTCGTCACACTCAGGCGTCTTTTGTAAAACGCCGAGTCACGTTTGTGTCTCGCCGCGTCGTGGATCCCCGAGGTGAAGGTGCGCCTTCTCCTCTGTCGGCGTCTGGCTGATTTCCAGCTGCCCTCCCCGCACTACTCTGCTGTTCGCTCTCGGCGAGGGGCCTCCCTTACATGCAGGGTGCTATTCCCAGCTCGCACATTCCTTTATGAGCTCAGGACCTTCGCCTGCTCCCCGGGCTTATGTTACACCTGTGTTTTGACACAGGGTTAAGTGATACGCGTGGTACCAGGACACTCTGTCAATAGCCTCTCAGGTGTGGAAGAAAGCGCCGGGGGGAAGGTGTGCTCGGTCGAGGGGTGCCGTACGCAGCGTGCATTCAACGTACGGAGGAGGGTTGTTAACGGAAAAGATGGAAGAAAACTCTCCTGAGATTGCTGCTGTATCCACGAGCGTTTATGTTCTAATGCAGGTTTATTCAGAAGCTTTAAAATCTCACTCTGTTGGAAACCTTTGTTCATGAATTAGCATCGTTTAAAAAAACGGATGTGGGAGTAAAAACTGGCTTGAAGGAAGAAACAATAAGCGTATGGCTGCAGCTAAAATAGAAGAAATAGAAGAGTCCAGTTTCATATACATATTCATACCTAATTTGTATATATTTTGTTGCCTTTTTATTTATTTTTGTAAAGGATGCCATGATACTTTGACCGTTTTTCTAATTAATTTTCAGCTTTCCCCTCCCCCCAAAGGGAAATTCATCTCGCAGGAGGTGAAACACACAAAACATTAAAAAAAAAAAAAGAGAGAGAACTGGTGAGACTAATATATAAGAATATATGCAAATAATTAACACTTAAATGTAAATAAATTACAGCGCGTATTAAAGCAGCTGCATGACAGTCATCGCTGGCAGTGAGAGTGGATTTATAGGAACGTTAGAATATTAGAGCCGCGAGACTTAATTGATTACTGATTCCTCGGTTTGAGGATAAAGTAGAAATTCTCAGATTTAATGACTATTTTTTTCCTTTGCTTACTTTTCTGTGACATTAATTTAAATGTTTTTGAATTGTGTTTTTTTGTGGACAAAAAAAGACGTTTACAAACATTTTGTCCAATTTTGAGAAACAGTAATTGACAGTTTTGGCCATTTTCTACCGTTTTATAAACCAAATAACAACTAATATTTCATTAATAGAGAAGCTAATCGACATTTTATTACGCAATGGGAAATAGTCAGTAGTTGCGGCACTATAATCCCAACAACATCATTGACTTACTTTGACAAAATCCAGGAATTTAGAATAATAACTTGGATAAAATTTTGAATTTTGTCAATTATTTCTATGAATCAATCAGAGTAATTTTTGTCATTTTAGCATTTGTATGCAGTAAAACAGAAGTTTCATGTTCTGCAGTCATCCGGATCTCTTTGCCTGAACAGCAGTGTGTCCCTCAGCGATTGTGTTTCCTGCTCTTGACTCTTCTCACCTTTTGCTATGAAGTCAAAATGAAAGAAACCACAGCGGCCGAGTCTGAACTCGGTGCGTTTGAACACTCTGACCTGGTCTTCACTGCAGCTGCGAGCCTCATTGTGCGACAGTCGAGGCGGACGCTTCCCCCTGTCCTGCTGTGACTCTTCCCCGCACGGTGGACCTAAAATAACTATTTAGGTCACACCTTCATCCTTTTGGCGGCTATAATTAGCAGGTTTTGGCTTCAGAGGTGCTGCTAGAGGAGAGGAGCAGGGGCAGATCCCAGCATTCCTCAGACATCACAGCAGCAGCAGCAGCAGCAGCAGGATGAAGGGATTACTGCCGATTTCCCCTCCATCCTTCCTCTTTTCCATCCTTCTGTTTGAACGAGGAAGGATGCTACCCCCGCTCTCCCTGGTGGGTGTTTAGTGTGAGGGCTGGTAAGTGTCTGTTGTGACAGCTGGGGGTCTCGTGAGGCAGAGTGGACAGCTTGGCCGCCCGTCCCCCCCCCGCCAGCCCTGCTCGGCTTCCTCACCTCCTTCACACCCATATGCCGCCGTGGCCCGAGGTCTGGCCGGCTTGTCCAGTGTGAGGTCTCACTTAGCCCCGCAGTGACCCCTCACTTCATCAGCAGCTCGCCAGCTCGCCGCCTGGGTGGCCGAGATCCTCCGAGCCCCGAGCGCTCCGCTTCTGCAGGCCTGGACGCGACAGCATCAGTCAGGAAATGTAGCGTGTAACAACCACCTGATAAACGCTGCTGCTGCTGCTGCTGCTGCCGCCTTAGAAACAAGTTTCACGTTAGGCTCGCTGGCCCGTTCCCCTAATCACACGTCTGCTTTCAGTGATGGAAAACGTATTCATATCCATCCAGATTATACCAGCCGATATGTAGAAGATCTCCACTGAAAGGAATAATTTAATCCATAATGTTGCTGAGTAAATAGATGCAAGAAGAAAAAAAAAACTGGACACAAGTGGTTCAGAAGTATTAATTCTAAAGAACTGAACAGAGTGATCAGTGCTGTAAATGCTGATTATCCTCTTTTCTGATGCCTAAACATCCACAAAGTGTTTTGACAATGTAGGTCGTCCTGGTCGAGTTTGGACTCTACAAACGCATCATCTCTTTAATTCTCACCATCGTGGATTGTTTAATGCGTGTAAATCTCATCAAGTCTCTCAAACAGGTAGCACTGCCTGCCGTCTTTATGCGATTAGCTTTCTGTAGAGAATTAGGCGTTTTTAATATGACTGCACACAGGAAAATACTAATTGTCATTTGTGTTTAACCACAAATGGACCAAACGTGCTGCGTGACGTTGGAATAAACCAACGTAGTTTTACCACAAAATATGTGAAGAGTTCATTTGCAAAAACAGATAATTCTATTTGTGTAGATTTTCAGAAAACTTTTTTTTTTGTTGTTGTTTGCTTGAGATAAAATCAATCAAACTGAAGCTGAGTGGATTTGACTCAGTAGAAATGACAACAGTAGAGATAACTTCAGTTTGATTGATACTGTCTCAGGTAGACGATGGAGAAGTGGGTTTTCTGAGGGTTTGTGAAGATGGAGTTCTCTGTTTTCGCAAATGAACTCTTCATTTATTACAATATGATAAAAATACAGGAGTTTTCATTAGATTACTTTAATACCTCTGTTTGGAAAGAGTTCATCATTCCAAAATGATTGTGTTGATTTTGTAGTGAATCTGCATCAAAAACGCAAAATAATTTACGAAAATCTTAAAAAGCCTTCTGGAAATGTTCTCATTGATGTACGTTTTCGACTTCGGGTGTCAACAAGATGCTCGTATATGTTTCTGTAGCCAAAATATTTCCGTACATAAGCTTTGCTTCTTTCTGCAACTGCATCGTCCATTTCCAGTTTTTCTTTCTTGTCATTCGCTCGGTTTGCTGTGCACACGTGGAGCCTGCATGCCAACTAACTCCCTGTCTTGCAAACACATATATATTTAAATTCAATGTATTCAAGAACCCTTAAATCAGAGTATATTAGATAATACGACAGACTTCTCTTAACGATTAGTCGTGGAACATGAGAAGAAAAAGTTGTAGTACGATGTTGTGTTTGAGTTAATTAATCTTACGTGACTGTTGCACGTTTGCCGTGTCGATGCTGAAACAATACATCGTGCCTCTCTACATTTCAGAGCGTGTTCGGTTGCAGCCCTGCCCGGCCGTATTTATAAAATGCCAATCACTGGAACAAAATATCATCAGGAGCCAATTTCCTTGTTTCTTCTCGTTCTAACAAGAAGTCCGCTTTGCTTGTTTCTATTCTGAAAGCTTGTTTGCTCTAAAGAAACATTCTGCTTTTTGAATCCATCAGTCGCTCCGCATGTCAGATGAAAACACTGATGGAAACGCATTTTCCCGAAGCGACGTCTCCGTACAGCACAAGTATTTAGATTACAGCCACCAGCACAGTGGAAAACAAAGTCTGAACATTATCTTTACGGCCGCTCTGTGGTGTTTTATAAAAATCTAGTGAAACAAGTATTTGTTGTTTTTTTTCCACAACCGCTGCGTCAGTTCGACAGATTTCTGCCTCAACCGCAAACAAGACTCTTGAGTTTTCTCAGAAAGTCGTGGTGAAGCAGCAGGTTCATACACAATGCCACTACAGGCTTTTTTTTTTTTTTAATATTATCTGTACAAGACGGAAGAAAACACTCTGCCCTGACTGACTGATGAGCAACATTGCACCCTTTTGTTCCATCCCTGCTTCCACCGTCGCCGTTATTCTTTATCAATCCATCATTTAAATGTCTGTTTTAAAGGTCTTATGGATAAAAATGACATTCTGCCGCAGCACTTCTCGCAGCATAATCCCTTTTGTAATTATCGGAAGCAGGTTGTCGGTTCAGCGTGTGGCCATTTACGGCGGAAAGATTTGGATAGAGCGGCTAATGCAGCTTGTTTTACGGCGATAATCTGCACTTTTCCCACGGCCGCAAGTTTATTTTTTGTCTCCTAAAAACTTGGGAAGTTAAACTCTGCTCTGAAGTCGACTCTTCGGGGATGGAGGTGGATTTGAACGAGCTTTGCTCACTGACGTAGCTTTTTGGTTACTTAAATATGTGTTGAAATTGTGCCAACAAGTTGCCGCAGTTAATTAATCTCACCAGAGTATTTGAAAAACCAGCTATCCTATATATATATATTAAAAAAAAAGCATCTTCACAGTTGAAGGGAAACTTGCCCCAGATGCTGGAGCTCTCCTTGAGCTGTGGGTTTACTGCTGGGGGGAAAAAAATGAAATGTTTTCAGAGAGGAGATTTATTTAAAAACAGAGGCGTTAAGGATTGTGAGGTGAATTAAAATTCCTTAAAGTACATTTTTTGTTGTCAGAAGTAAATTATAAATTGCAGTTTTCCTTCCCTTTCTGACACCATTTAAGCAAAGTGAGAAATCCCGTGGCCTTCATGAAGCATCATTAGCCAAACATGTACGCACGCTTTCCAT